GGTTGTGAGCCTGAGGGATGGAAAGATGGTGTTGCCCTCTGTAGTAATAGGGAAAGAGGTAAAGGGGAAAAAATCGCAAGTTCTGTTTTGGACATGCTGGGTTTAAGATGTCTGCTAGACGTAGTTTGAAAGTCTAAATGGCAGTTGGAGATGTGAGATTGGAGGTAAGCAGAGAGATTGGAGTAGAAAAGAGATTTGAGAATAGTCAGGGTAGATAGACATGGTAATTAAATGCATGGGAGCTGTTGGAATCACCAGGTGAAGTAGTGTAGAAGGAGAAGGGAAGAGGGCCCAGTACAGAACCCGGAGGGATAGCTATGATTAGAGGGTGTGATCTGGATGAGGATCCAGATAGATAGGAGGAGAACTGAGAGAGAGGTATCCTGAAAACCATGAGCAGCAGGGTCAAAGACTGCAGAAGAGGTCAAAGAGAATGAGAATTGAGGGGAAAACACCATTAGATGTGGCTGCTATGAGCATAGAAGTCAGATTGTAAGGAGTTAATGAGTGAAAGGAGAGAAAATGTAGAAAATTGTAGGCAGCCTTTCTCAAGAGGTTTAGCTATGAAGGGCAGAAGAGATGATAGGGTGAGAATGAGTTCAGAAGGAACAAGTGAGGCTTTTTTGAGGATGAGGGAGACACAGTTTGTAGACAGTAGGAAATGAGCCAGTAGACAGAGATTGAAGAGCTAGAGTGGAGATGACAGAAGGGGCATTCTGTTGGAGGAGACAGGATGGGTTGGGATCACTTGCACGTAGAGGAGTTTGCTTTGGTGAAGAGAAAAGCCACCTCTTTGTGTGAAAGTGGGGTGATGGAGAAGAGAGTATCAGAAGGCATTTGAGTGATAGGAGATGAGGAGGGAGCCCATGGTGAATAGCCTCAATTTTATCTTTATTTTATTTTTTTAAATATGAGGTAAGGGAGGGGGGAGGGAAAGAAAGAGCCCTAGGAGGTTTGAGGAAGGATGCAAAAGTTTGGAAGAGCCCTAGTGAAGGGCGGGATGAGTTGATGAGGGAGGTATGGTAGGATTGCTTAGCAGCAGTGAGGGTCCAGTTGAGGTTGTGTAACATCAGTTTGTAGTGGACTCAGTGAAAAGTTGTGTGATTTTTCTCCACCTTTGTTCAGCATGTGTGAAGGAGAGAAGGTAATGAATGGAATGATGGGCGTGATGAGTGAGCCAAGGCTGAGACTTTTTGGTGTGTAGTCAGTGTGATAAGGGGGCTAGGGATTCAAGAGAAGAAGACAGTATGGAGTTGAACTTGGTTCACCAGAGGATCAAGATGAGGAGAAGAGCAGAGAGTGGCTAGTGTAGGGGAGATGTCCTGGAGAGAATTGAGGGGTCAAGGGATTAGAGGTAATAGTGCGAATGAAGAGTAGAGTTACCTAAGGGAAAGAAGAGGGAGAGGTGAAAATCCGGTAGGTTGTAGTCAGATGAAGAGATTTCAGAATTCTTGAACATGGAGGTGATATATTTGTGGGTGATGGCAAGATCTAGTGTGTGACCTTCTTTGTGTGTGACTGAGGTGGGGTGGAGGAATATGGGAAGTGAGCAGGTTGAGGAACTAAGTGGTCCATGGTGTTTGGGAGAAGAGGGTGGGCTGGGGAAAGGAATAAGCATTTTTGTAGTTCCTACTATGTGCCAGGTGCTGTGCTAAGCACTGTACAAATAAATCATTTGATCCTCTCAACAATCCTATGAGGCAGATACTGCTCTCATCCCCATTTTACAGTGGAGGAAACCAAGGCAAACAGAAGGTAAGTGACTTTCTCATGGTCACATAGCTGGTTAAATATCTCGGGCCAGATTTGAACTGAGGTCTTCCTGACTCCAGGCCCAGCGCTCTATCTAAGAATCAGTAGATGTGTTGAAATGCCTTTATATGAAGTTAGGAGTTGGGGAGGAGAGAAAAATTGTGAGCCTGGCATTGACTTGTTGAGGAAGGAAGGAAGCGTAGTGACCCGGAGGTATGTAGACAGCGGCTACCAGGATTTTGATGGGGTAGTAGATTCTGATTTTGTTTTACTGACTTTTTCTCAAAGGCAGGTAGGTAGGTCAGTGAATAGAGCACTGTGCCTGGACTCAGGATGACTTGAGTGCAGATTTAGCCTCAGACACTAGCTGTGTGACCTTGGGCATATCACTTATCTCTGTGTTTCTTCATGGGGATAATAAAATGGAGATCATAGCACCTACCCTACCAGGGTTGTTGTGAGGATCAAATGTCGTCATAATTGTACGGTGCTTAGCACAGCGCCTGATACATAGTAAGTGCTATAATAATGTTAGTTGTTATTATTGAAGTAGTGAATAATAGTGAAGAAAAATCCAGGATTGGAGGCCAGTTCTGAACCCAGGTCTTTATGATATGGAGGCCAACTCTCTCTCTCCATGAGGTTTTGTCTCACTGTAGTTATACTGCTATTATTTCTAAGCCAGAAAATAAAGCTCGCTCCTGTCTTGCCACCATGATGCTATTGCCAAGTTTTGGCATGTTTTCTTTGCATTAAGGTAGTATCTGCCACTCTGAAGGTGTGCAGTGTTTAACTAGCTTTGAATTTGCTGTTTGTTTAAAGCTAGGAAAGCAAGAAAAAAATGATCTTAACATTTCTAGGAAAAACTTTAAAGCAAGAGAAACAACTTTATTATTCTTTCTGAAGAAAGCACAGGTGACTGATGTACTTGAAAAATATAGCATGTTTTAAAATCAGGTTAAGAGAAAATAAAGTGAATATTGTTCAAGGGAATATGCTTTATGTGATCTGTACATTATAACACATAGGGCTATATTTTTAATAAGTTCTAGCTTAGATGCTTCAGTATTAACTTTAAATTTCTACCTAAACAGGCCTTTCTTTGATCAGTTTAAATTATCTGACAGACCTTACAGACCCAGCTGTTGGAAAGTCTTCAGAAATTAATTATTTTAATTTGCCTGTTGGGGGCAGCTAGGTGGCACAGTGGATAGAGCACCGGCCCTGAAGACAGGAGGACCCGAGTTCAAATACAGCCACATACCAAACATTTGACACTTACTGGGCAAGTCACTTAATCCCAGTTGCCTAATAAATAAATGAATAAGCAATTTTCCTGTTGTTCCTTTATAATGGGAATGCATTATGTGGCATTTTTTTTTAAGCAGATTTTAGGTGCATTGCAGTCTCTCCTGTCCAATTCAAGGTGCGTCATGATACTTCCAGCATTTGAAGAGCCTGATCTCTGCTAACAGCAGTTAGAATGGTTTAGTTAGAGAAGATGATCACTGTCTGCTCTAGCTTTGACTCATGGTCATCCCAGTAACTGTAGTGTCTCATTTTTACCATCTGTGAAACAGGCATATATTTGGTTCTTTCTGACTTATCGAAATGTCCTAAGGAAAAAGAACATGAAGAGGTATTTTGAGTTCTTAAGAAGAAAATGCACTATATAAACTGACTGTAGTGGTTAAAATATTTATTAAGGTTGCTTAGCTAAATTGAGATCTTATAAAATATACATGTAAAGTAGCAAATGAATGAGAAAATGTCAACCACCATTGGAAATTACAAAGTACACAATTATAGAAATCCTTAGCTTTTTTAAAAGTCCTAGAGCCTAGGTTCTTCTAATCTTTAAGCAACATGGATGATAAAGGTGCTATTTTCTTTTTTTTTAAATTTATTTTGATTTATCAACAATCACTTCCATATGCTCTTGAGTTGAAAATTTTTTCCCCCTTCCTCCCCCCACCCTCCCCAAGATGGCACACAATCTGATATACCCAGTAAACATATTTTCACATTAGTGAAGTTGTAAGTAAAAATTAAAACCAATGGGAGGAACCATCAGAAAGATGAAACAAAAATCAACAGAAGGTAAAAGTAAGTGACAGCTATTTGACTTCCATAGTTCTTTCTTTGGATGTGGACAGCATTTTCCTTCCCGAGGCCTCTGGAGATGTCTTAGATCCTCGTAATGCTGAGAAGGGTTCAATTTAACAATCTTAGTCATTGCATAACGTGGCTGTTATTGTGTACAAAGTCCTCTTGGTTCTGCTCACTTCACTCAGCATCAGACCATATAAGTCTTTCCAGGTTTTTCTGAAGTCAGCATGTTCATCATTTCTTATAGCACAATAGCATTCCATTACATTCACATACCACAACTTACTCAGCCATTCCCCAACTGATGGGCATCCTCTCAATTTCCAATTCTTTGCCACCACAAAAAGAGCTGCTATGAATATTTTTGTACATGTGAGTGCTTTTCCCATTTGTTTGATCTCTTTGGGATATAGCCCTAGAAGTGCTATTGCTGGATCAAAGGGTATGCACATTTTTGTAGCCCTTTGGGCATAGTTCCAAATTGTTCTCCAAAATGGTTGGATCATTTCACAACTCCACCAACAATGTATTAGTGTTCCAATTTTCCCACATCTTCAGCATTTATCATTTTCCTGTTTTGTCATGTTGGCCAATCTGATAGGTGTGATGTGGTACCTCAGAGTTGTTTGGATTTGCATTTCTCTAATCAATAACGATTTAGAGCATTTTTTCATATGACCATAGATGGCTTTAATTTCTTCATCTGAGAACTGTCTGTTCATATCTAAAGGTGCTATTTTCTAGAGAAGGATCTAGACCTTTTATGTATTGCTTGGACTGGTAAAGTAGAGTCTGTGTGAATCTGAATTAAGAACGTAACCATTCTTTAGCTAGTCCTGCTTCCAAGCAGGGGCCTACAAGTGAAGCAGTCTCCGAAGGACTTCTCTAGGAGTGTTTGTCCTTTTAGGGAAGTATAGTTACTGCTCTAGGGCAAAAAGCTGTCTGAAGAAGAGGAGGGGCAGTTCTTTTCAGCCACTAATCAGTCCAGTGCTGTTGTGTGACCATGTTGCTGAGGATGCTAGCCCCACTTTATTTCTCCCCTTGAAGGCAAGCAAAACCATGGGCAAAAAGATTTGGTCCACAAACCCAATTGGCCCAGTGTGGTGAATGTTAATAAGCTACACAAAAAGGAGGAGAAAACATCAAGCTAGAATGTGTGTGCCACAAAGAAATTAAACCACTATTCTGGTTCCAAAGAAACACCCTGAATTCAAGCTAGGATAGTGGTTCTCTTGATTAGCTTTGTGGGAAAATAATAGTGCTTTACAGGAAGAAAAAAGATGCTTCAAATGATTTGGAAACAAATTACAAATATATTAAAATCTTTTTGCAGATCAATGTATAAATAAAAATGGAAAAATCTAGGATCATATGTTGGACTAATTCTGCTAATTTACCACTTATTTGAACCACAGGACTATTGATTTTAGAGCTGTCTGGTGGTGGCAGAATACCAGTCCACACTGACATGGGTTAGATTAGACCACTGGGATTAAACTGTAATTTTAATTGAAAGTCTAGTTTTAACTTCTTCGTTGGCTAAATAGAGATAACTTTTTCTTAATGCCGGTCAGGGATCTCTCTCTCTCTCTCTTTTGTTTTGTTTTGTTTTTTCTGGGCATTAGTGATTGCAGGCTTTCGTTTGAATCTTTTGTTTTGTTCCTATTTGGTTGAAGTCGTCCTCTGCTGCTCAGCCCATCTCTTTGCCCATCTTGTGGCCAGGGGCACAAAGAACAGAGAAACTGATGAGAGCAGATAGCACATCCCAGAAAATAAAAAGGAATAGGCATACGTCTGGGTGTTGTCATGTAGCCAGCCTGGAGAGAAAGAGACATTTCTATAAAGCAGACTGTGCTTGACAGTGATAAAGTAAGAGACTCTTCTTGACCAGAACCTACTTGAAAGAGCTGTACTGTCCTTCAGTTATTAGGGGCTTTGTTTGGTTTATTTGGGACCTCACATAGACTTCATCAACTCAGTCAAGTCTTAAGCCAAAATTTGGAGATTTAAAAAAATGGGATTCAGTTTTGAAAATGACATGCAGGTAACAAACATCAGAGAATTCAGAGTATGGTACTTGAAACCATGAAAAACTATTCTGTATAGCCTCTGATAAATTCAGAGTTCTCTTTAATGGAAGTATATTTAAGATAAATTCCATATACATTGCAACCTAATTTTAAGAAATCTGAGGTTTACTTCGGTATAGGATAAAGCGTCCAGAATTCACATTCTAAAGTTTTATCACAAATGGGGTTCTGCTGTCTACTGACATAGCAGATGACTAGGATGATAAAAGCCAGAGGAGAGTCGTTTCACATTACTGTATAGCTTGATCAGGCTTTTAGACTCTATAGCCCTGATTTTTGGTTCAGGGTATGTGACATGTGGACCAGGTAGTTACTAGAATGATTTCCTTGTTCCTGCCCTAAAGCAGCAGTGTGACTGTGCCCTCATTGTGCTCCTATCTGTAACTTCCTAAGTCATCTAAGTTAGCTGTGTTGGCAGAGGAAAGACTGGCCATCTCCGGTCTCCCAAATTCTTGGGGGTTATAAAGAGAAACCTCCTGGGCCATATACCCCATTTTTTGTTGTTAGGCATCTGCTTGGCATATGGAAGATGTTGCTTATCACTGCCTTCAAAAGAATACGTGAAGAAATTCACTATTTTTGAAGTCCAGTAAAACCTTGAGCCAACACTGTGGTGAACCTGTAAGTAAAGGGACAGCTGAAGACAGCCCTATTTATGCCTTTGGTTGTCAAAAGAATGAACTTAGCTTTAGTGAGCTTTGCTAGCAATAGCCTAGAAGTAGTATTGATAGACTAAAGGCGCTCATTTTGTGTTTGTGGTTGTAAAAACACAACACAACTCTGTCATTCCATTAAAGTATCTCTTTTTCTTTCAAGTGATGGGTGTGTTGGGTTATATCACTTTCTGTTCCCTTAAGTGGCAGTTCTAAAGCACTAAAAATGTATTTTTTGCTTCTGGTTTTGATTTGCCAGTATGACAATTGATATTTCTTTAAAAGCCCCCAAACTTAAATGAAATCAAGCTGCTTTTTATTCATTACTTGGATTCCCCCTTCTTTGGCTCTTTGGTCATCAGTAGGAAAAAAAAGGTAACCTTGCTGTTAAAATAACCATTTTCAATCCACTCTACAAAAGGAAGGCTTCTTTGACAAGTTGTACTGATCATGACCAAATTATAGAACTTTAGACTTAATGATGTGGTCAACATCCCATCTGGTTGCTACCACCATGCCTTCTTTGTACCTTTTAAAGAGGAGGCTAGCTGGCAAAAATACTCACTTTCTTTACAATCTTTTCCTTCCAGATTCAGTGATCTTAAAATTTTGGGAGAATCAAAAATAGATCTTTAGGGAAAGGTCGGCAATCTCTGGTCTGTCCATTTGAGAGTGGTTACTGATATTTTAAGGAAATATCTTGAATGTTGTTTAAAAATAGAGATGAAGATGAGTGGGAGGAACAAGAAAGAAGGTGGAGAAGGAATTTGGCATCAGCCATTGGATTAGTATTGATTTTTACAAGCAAGGCAGCCAGGTGATAAGGCTAAGTGAAGATAAAATGTTTTACTGTGGCAGGTAGTTCTGGGATGTGTTTCAGAAAGCTCTATATCAAAAAGGGCTTAAACAAAAATATCAGTCAGTGCATTTCCCCAACCTCATTTAATGAGTAAGGTCTATTCATCTCTTCTAGCCTTTGCTGTCCAGAATGGCAGGTCAAGGGGTACTTAGTGGACTGCCAAGTCTAGCCAGGTAAGAAAACAGTAAGATCAGTTTGGCAGATTTATCAGGACTGAGAATGCTATTGATTCCTTTTACAGAATATTCAGAATATTAGACAGTGGTAGTAAACCCTGACTCTGAAGCTTCTAGATGGTTGGGGTGTCTAGAATAGAGATGTATGTGCAAGAGACATGGTTTGAGTTACGGGTCAGAAGGTGACATGGTCGTGTTTCAGATAGTACTCACGAAAGTCCGATGAGTCTGAGTGTCTACTTTATGTTGAATAGTGCATTACAGCAGCCAAACTGCCTCTGCCTTGAAAGTTACCTGATTTGTGTTACCTCAAGAACAGCAGCATAGAGGCAAAATACAGCACAGTGACTGTGCCTGGCTTATTTCTGTTTATGGCTATGGGACTTGGACCCTGCTGTTGTGATGCTTGGGTAAAAGAACTCCTCTTATTTCAGCGTCCAGGATATTAAAGTCTTGATAGCGAAACTTGACCGCACAATTGAAAGCGAGATGCTTTGAATGCTTTTGGAGACATCAGTGTCCCCAAGAGAAGTCCTGAAGAAGGACAGACTAAGCTATGTACTTTTACCAAGTCTTCACTGAGTAATTCTTTTCATTAAATTGTTAGCTGCAGGATTCCGTAGAGACTTGGGCCTTGGCAGTATCTTGCATGTAATAAGTGCTTGTTGAGTTGTGGTGAGTGCTGGACTGAGCTTTCCTAAATTTATTTCATAGGGAGTACTGTTTTCTATTCCTGTTCTCTCACATCTTCCACCTGAACTGAAAAGCCTCACACTTAAAAAAGATACACCTGCCTTTTTCTGGAAGGTATTAGGCACATTAAAACTCCTCCCACCCACCTTCTTGACATTCCCGGGGATGGGTTATCCCCTACATAGGAACTCTCAAGTTGCTATAGCTGTTTATCAAGCCCCACCCTTGTGGGGACCTGGGGCCCCAGAGGACCCTGCATAAATAATCTCTTCCCTGTCCAACAGGGGAGTGTTGTGGCTATGGGCTGTGTGTGTGTGTGTGTGTGTGTGTGTGTGTGTGTGTGTGTGTGAGAGAGAGAGAGAGAGTGTGTGAGAGTGTGTGTGTGTGTGTGTGTGTGTGTGTGTGTGTGTGTGTGTGTGTGTGTGTTTTGTAGCTTTCATCCCACACTGCAGGCTGTGCTTTTATTACAAGCAATTTATTGTTGATATCGTTTGTTTTTACATCACCTACATTTCCCACTGTATTTTCCCAGTCCACACTACAGCTTTAGTAGTTTATATCATTTGTCTTGCTAAACACGTGACATTTTGTGGGGAAGGAGAGTCTCCCTTTTTAGTTGAGAGTGCTCTGGTCCTCCATCTACTACTTAGTGGCCAGGTGACTGTGGGTTTTTTTTTTTAACTCTCTCAGTGCCCCCAGGAGACTGACTAAAAGTTCCAGAAAAGTTTCTGATTCTTATTGGTAGGAGTTCTTTCTCCTAACAGTAAAATCTATCCTGGACCAAGAAGAAAAGTTACAGGCATACTTAGGCACTTTGGAAATGTTTTTTCATTTTGATTTAGGGACTCATGAACTTCAGGAGAGCTAAGCCTTACAGGATTTTGATATGTTGCAAGAACATCTCTATGTAAATAAAGTAATTTATAGCTTCTCTTTCTGCTGCTGCAGGGGATAGTAGGTGCCTTGTGATGTCACTGAGGAGAAAGGATGCTGTTGTAAGCCTCTGTCCTCCTTCCCCCTTTACCCACTGGGAATCAGGGATGGTGGGTTTCAGAAGATTAAGAACATCAGACTAAAAGATTGAAAAGTTCAGCAAATTAGTGATCAGCACCTGAAAGCAAGTCTCAAGTGGCTGGTGAAGACTAGTGAAACTCTGGGTTTTGGTGTGTGTGGGTGTGTGTGTAGGTATGGTTAGGGTTAGTAGAAATTTTTGAGTATGAGTAGAAGTGTTCTAATATTCCAAGAAGGAAGGAAAGTGATAGAGAGCAAAGGTTCATTTTGCTAGCATTTCATAGGAAGTTGATATGATTTATCTGTGGTTCTCCCCAAGTCACAGAATGTCATATCTGGAAGGGACTTGAAGGTGATATAGTCTGGAGGTGTTGAGGCCCAGAGGAGGACCGGACTGGTCCCCTGGTCACCCAGCTAGTTAGTGGCAGAACTGGGAGGAAAACCCAGGTCTTCTGACTGTTGAGAAGCACTAGGATTAAATGACTTGCTCCTGAATGAGACAGTTTGTTATTTACCTGAGATTATGGTTAATTTGTAATTATTCATTTTGGAAACTGGATTCTGATAGAGAAGTTGCCCTGAATTCTACTATTGACGGGACAAATCATTTAACCTTTGTGGACCTCTACTTTAAAAAAAAAACCCATCAATTTCTTTTTTTTTTTAAAGGCAGTTGGGGTTAACTGACTTGCCCAGGGTCACACAGCTAGTAAGTGTCTGAGGCCAGATTTGAACTCAGGTCCTCCTGAATCGAAGGCTGGTGTTCTATCCACTGTGCCATCTAGATGCCCCTGAAACCATCAATTTCTTATAGTAATTTCAAATAAAAATTCCACCCATCTTAAAGATAAGAAAATGGAGGGAGGAGGTCAAAGTGTCTCTCTGAAGCTTGCACCATAAGGTGGAGGAGCTAACACTTGCTGAGTTGCAGAATTTGAGGGTTGGAAGGGACATTAGTGGCCCTAGTCCAGACATAGCCTCAAAAGAATTCCCTCTACAAAATGCCTAACATATGGACAACCAGCCTTTTGTTTCAGCACCTCTAATGAGGGGGAAACCCAAAACCTTTTGTAACAGCAAATTCCACATGTGTTGTAATTCATAGTTCTTGATTTTTGAATGAACTGTTATTGGTTAATTAGAATTTGTGATAAATGGCAGCCTGTTGTTAACTCACTTTGTGCATTACATTGTTCCTTCTCTGAGGGTTCACTTAGGCTTAATAAATATGAGTGAAACTTTTTTTAAACAATAACATTTTGGAAGAGGAAAAAAATCTTTAAAAGATGAGGATGCATATTAATCTAATTTTTGTGTGACACCATAACTGCACGGGGAAAAACTACTTATTTTTGTACTTTATTGACAGGTAAGTTTTAATTCCAGTCCTTGATGGTGCAGTTTAATAAATTTGAGCTTTTAGCAGTTTGAGATTAGTCACATGCCATGGATGGAGCATGAGGAAATTGTAGGTAAGTCATTTTCTTTTTTGCTTTGTATTTGTATTTAGGATTTGATGACTATTTGTTTCATAGCCTGCCCAGGTTTGTTAAAGGTGTTACATTTTCTTTCAGATTTACCTAAATCAATAGAGACTTACTAGGAAGGCTAATAATCAGAGAATACAGAATGTTTTGAGGTTTGAGCAATCAGGTTAAAAATAATCCCAGGGTCACCTGGTCAGTAGGTAGCAGAGCCTAGTGACATAGTTTGGGTCAAGGAGAAGGATGTTTCTTTTTGTGAAGGATATTTGACTCCATTCCCAAGGGCAGTCCTAGGATTAACCCAAGGTGGATCAGGGAGGTCCGCTTCAGGCTGGAATCTTGCCAAGTATGCCCTGAAGCAGAGCCAGCCTTCTTGAAGATCTCTCTGGTGTATTGCTGAGACTTGACAGAGATCAGATTGACTTTCTGGGGTTGGAAAAGTTGGTGGTGAGCCATGTCAATTCATTTTTATGATCTATCTGTGGTGTTCTCTTGGGTACTCATGCAATACACATGCATCAGTAAATTTTAGTTAAATTTTCATTATGAATTTATCTACTCTTTATTCTTACATCCATAGTTAAGAAACATATGTCGCTATGCTTAGGCTTTAAAATGGTATAAATGCAATTATGTTATGTCTAAAATTTCCCATGCTCGTTGTTGGCCCCCCTTGAATTGAAACAAATGATAAAGAACTAACTTTTTTTTTCCTGTTTCACTTCTATACAGGAAGGGGAAAAATGAATTTTCTGGTAAGCTATTAACTAATTAATGTTCTGAGTGGGGATCCCTGGGGAAAGTTATTTTTTGTGGAAGAAGAATTATTATGTGACAAAGGGGCCTAGAAAGTCATAGTTGACTTAGACAGCAAGAAAGAGAACATTCTTTGTAATGTGCATTAAAGTGGAAAGGCCCATCTTTGGCTTTGTTTCTGGCATTTTGTCATAGATAATTCTTAAGCCAAATCTTACAATGTTCAGTCCCTGTTGAAAAGACTTGAGTCAGTCAGTGGTTTAATATTTCTGCTGCTGCTTTACTACTCAGCATTAGAGTAGGGATGAGAGACATACGTCTGACTGTTGCTGTTCAAGAAAGGCAAATTGTGTAATTTGACGGAAGGTTGAGTTGGAAGACCTGGGAGATGCTGGAGGATTCTCCCTTCTGCTGCTTCTAATCAGGTCATTGCTGCAGTCAGGGAGAGGGGTTTAGCATAATTTTGTTGGAGCTGCCATAGTAGTTGGAGTGCAACTAAATCAAACAACCCCCTTGACTCAAAAGATCCTTATATAAAAACATTTACTTTCTAGCAATAACCTTATCCCTTTCCTTGACTATAAGAAAAATCAGAATTTAAGATTTATGGGTTTTTTGTTTTTAGAAAAAAAATAACATCCACAGGTTATGGCACAGAGTTTGGAAGTTAGAACATTTCTTATGATTTCTCTGCTTACCCTCTTGCTAAGTATTTTGTTTTATAATTCTCCCTTACTTTCTGTTCTTCTTCTTACCCCTCAAGCCCTTCTTTTAGTTGTCCAGTTTGCTGAAATCTTTAAATATATTTTTAAAAGTTTAAACACATTAGAATTTCATATCTCTGGATTCTACCTTTAGAATTATGAATGAAATTATATAATCTGTAGTTGATATATTATTGAGAGACATTTCCTACCTTGTGCTATTGGCCTGAAAGGATCAGCCTACTAGGCAGTATTCATATTACAGAGATGCAAACTACATTCAGACTCTCATCAGTACTTGCTGGTATTGGCACTAACCATGCAAGCACTCTGTTGGGCACCTTCTGGTACTTGGCCTCCTCCTTATAGTTTCCTATAAAACTTAATTCTGATATTAGATCTTGAAATACCAGTCTGCATTCCCTACAGGAAATATAGATAGTGTTTTGCCAAATAGCATTTATCTTTGCAGGTAGAAGAAGGAGTGTTCAAAGAAAGGAATCTGGTTGTATAAATTTCCCTTTTCTCCATTTCACTATATGCAAACTGGACTTTAAATATATAGTCCTGTGCTTTTTTTTCTTCTTCACATATAACTTTCTTTAAAGGGGCCCCCTAATTTAACTTCAGATGCTAAAATAAAAATTCCCTTTTGATCTTTGCCCTTTATTGAGTCTTAAATTTACAGTGTCTGAAATCTGGCTCTAGCGCTAAATTACCTAGGTGAAAAATGAAAGGTGCAAAATCAGATCCCTCCTTGTCTCTGATACTGGTCTTGGCTGGAGGAAGCATAAAAGTGAGAGTTTCTAGTGGCTATGTTTTTACCAGATGTTTGGAAAGTGTTATATTTATTGTCTAGCATTCGAACATCTTCCCCTAAAAATTGTTCCTTACCCCTTACAACTCTAGCTCTCAATATATTGACCTTGTTCGAGAGCAGATATCCAGGTGAGGGTTTTAAAAAAAAAAAAAAGAGGTAAATTGAAGTTGGATTTTTAGTCTGGAGAAGTTAACAGAACAAAGCATAGACCTGCCGTCATTCTACTCAGCTTTCCAATTTTGTCAGGGCCCGCATCTGCAAATGCTTTCCCCACAAGGCTTTTCTGTCATGTTTTGTTCTAATCTTATTAGTCCCGATGATGTTTTATCCACAATTTCTTATGAAAAGAATCTAGGGAGACACCTGTAACATGGCCCTGCTGCAGAGGGAAAGGCGAGACTGGTGAGGCAGAAACTGTTGGGAATCTGTCTCAGTGATGGTGTGGTGATTCCCATGAGATCCATCCCAGCAAGCTGTGACCATGGAGTTCTGAAAAGCCTTGTCCTTAGAGTAACAGGACCCAGATAGCTGCCTATAGCAGTTGGGCCAAATTCTTTCCCCAAAACCTATTCCCTTGAGAAGACTCAATTCAGCAAGCATTTATTAAGCATGTAGGCACTGGGGATTTGAGGACGAAGTTGAAAAATGGCCCCTGGTCTCCCCTGTTTTGTAGGGGGTCCCACATATACACCAAGGAGTGAACAAAAGAATTTGAGGAGAGAATGACTACTAACCTTTGTTGACCAGTAAAGGCTTCCTATGGGAAGTGGCCTTTGAGCTGACCCCCTAAATGAAGCCAAGGATTTTAAGAGGTGGAAATGAAGAGAAGGAGAGCATTGCAGGCATGGCTGAATCTGTAGGAGCGTAGAGTCAGAAGATGGAACTCAAGTTTGGAGAAGAGCACATAGACCATTTGGGGAAGAGGAAGAGGAAAAGACAAGGAAACAAGTCAGGAATGAAATGGTTCCTTTTTGGTAGATTGTTGATAGAAACTTAGCATGTATCAATACTTTCCTGTTGATACCCTCAGAAGGTAGATAATTACCTGCTATGGGTGGTCCAGAAAGAATAACCAGCCCAGCAAAAAAGGCAGCAAACCCCAAAAACCGGTTTAGCGTAGAGTTCCCAGTGAAATCAGCCTGTTGGAATCAGAGAACCATTGTTGGAGTATGTAAAAAAAATTGTTTCTTAAGAAATAAGTCTGTGTCATCCCAAGTTTTGTAAAAAAAATTCTTTTACACTAGGACTTACATGATAATTTCAGAGATTCACAGTTCTGAATGCTGAATTATCACAACCAGATTTCTCATGTGTTTCATCAAAAAGCTACAACCTGAAAGTACTTGAAGGAAGGGCTTGCCTCCAGGGTGCCATGTCCCATTTCATAGAGCTAAGCGGTGGTCTCCCCAAACGATTGGTAAGTAGCTGACATGTAGAAGTTGAGATTTTAGCCAGAGCTAATTTGAGGATGCTGTAAATAACCTGTTTTCTTGTGCTTTTTATTTGAGGTGTAGGCCTCCTAAACCACCTTGCATCTCTTAAATAGGAAGCTGTGGCTGTGGAGTTCTTAGAGCTTCCTGGTGGCAGTGGTGAGGCTATTCTTGTGTTTGTAGGATTCATTAAGTTTGTCCTGATTAGTAAGGCCAAAACTTAGCCATAGAGAGCCTGTTCCTGTAGATAGAAAAAGCCCTTGCTAACGATACTGGAGAAGGTAAATCCCTTGGGAAGCTCTGACCTGGTTCCATATTGAATCCATGGCATATGGGCAGTGATTTTCAGGGCTTCCTGCCTCAAACTAGAAAACTGACACACAAGGTCAGGTTACACCCCCTTCTAACCCACGAATATATCTCCATTTTTGTACCTTGTGAGGAACTGAACATAGCTCTGCAGCCATAGGGGCAGAGTGGATTTAAGGTGTTATCTGTGGTGATAAAAAAAACAGATTTGAGGCTCCTCCTAAGTATTCCTTGCTCTCTTCAATTTCTTCCTTGCTTTATGGATAGAATAATTCTCTCCCATTATCTAGTCTTTCCCAAGATGGATGACTGGATAGATCATTGACTGGGGTCTACTTAGCCATCATAGGACCCAGGACAGTTTTCTCTGGCTACCACATTGACTTCTAATTTCAGTCTGTTTAGGGAGATCACAATAAAACATTGCCTTTCCTTGATGTTTCTCTTCTAATAGTTTTAATGAGTGTGTCTACTCACCATTACAGGGAGCATCATTGCCAAATAACAGCCACAGAAAATGGCAAAGAAGATGGAGTAGGTCATGAGTAGAGGAAATGTGGTGGCTAAAGGAGCGAGCAGGTTAGTGATGCCACAGAGGATGAGGTAAGCCTTGTAGTACTGATAGTTCTTGATCCAGTTTTGGTCAGCAACCCATCCAGACAGTAGCTGCATGAGTGTCTCTGTCATGCCTGGAGAGACATTGGAAAAGATCCACATGAAAGCCTGAACCTCATCTCCTTGAAGTGAGTGACTGCACGCAACATCTTTGCATATATCTCATGACTCAGTCTTTAGGCCAGGTGAGTAATGTGAGTAACAGCTCCCTGGGAAGTGAGCCAGGGAGAACAAATTAGTTTTATGTGTTCTGCCATTTGGATCTAGCTTTCATTTAAATGCACACCCAGTGAAGGGCCTTAAAAGGAACTCTTTTCAGCCGTGTTTCCTCTGATCATCTCTCTAGGACTCAGTGCTGCAGTGCTTCAGGGGTGCCCCACTAGAGAAGAGCTGAAACAGATTGGGGACGCCCAGTAGCTCCCTTCACCCTGGCCCTCCCACCCCAAAGGGATTCTCTCTGTAGAAGAATGTTCTCTCCTCCAGTTTCCTTTCTGCCAAGGAAGCAGAAATCGCTGGGGAATCTCCTAGAACCTTCAAGTCAGTGTCCTCTTGGGCTCGGGAGGTTGTGAGAGGGAAAGGTGGTTAGAGTATAATTAATAAAGTTTTTTAAAAAGGAAAATTGGGACTCTTTCTTATGAACTAATGTAAAATTTCGATAACCCCTCGCTGTTGCCTGTTGCATTGCAGTTGTTGGCAGTAGTGGATTTAAGCATGACCTTGCAAAGAAACCAGAAGTACATTGTCTTGTAGAACACTGGCTCCTTCACTGTGATCTCCTATAGATTGATTGGGAGGATGGAACATAAATCGCATTGGTGATTTTTTTTTCTGGAGAAGTAGAACCTCATAAGCTTTCTTCTTGAAATCCATTATCCTATTATGAGCTTATGTAAAATCAAGACATTCTAATCGAGGTTCATGGAGAAAATGAGTGGCATGTGGTTTTTTCCTGTAGACAGTATTTCTGGTTACATATTTATATATTAGTTACAATTTATGTAACAAATTATCATAAGACTTACTTGATACAGGAAACATAGTTATTTAAAAGCCCCAAACCGTACTTTTTATATCAGTTTCACATAGTTATAGGTAATGGAGGATTCCTACAATTAACCCATTTTTGTTTCACCTAGTTGTACAGGGAAAGCCCGAGTGTGAATTTACAATATATATGAGAAGTTAATTCAATAAGCAGTTGGTAAGTGTCTATTCTGTGCAAAGTGCTGTGCCAGGCACTAGGAATACAAAGACAATATGAAAAAATAGTCCCTGTACTCAAAATAGCTTGCATTCTACTGAGGAAATGCACCATTCGCATAGATAATTAGGTGAAAAATAATCTGAGGAGGGGGGAAAGCAGTAATAACTAAGGGTGTCAAGAAAAGGTTCATTCTCATGGGAGATAGAAGATGAGCTGAACCTTGAAGAAAGCTCAAGATACCAAAAGGCAGGGGAGGAAAGATTCCAGCAAAGGGGAATATCTTGGGGCCAAGAGATGAGAAGCTGAGTACAGGCAACATTGGCCAGGTCAGTAAACCAGCAGCCATTTTTTGTGGATTTTTTTTTCTGTGTGTAAGTATATTAATCTCATTTTGACTTTGAAATAGAACCATTGTGATGCAGCCAGCAGAGGGAGGATGTGGATCCACACTATAAAATATGGATGTTTGAATACCCTGTGACTTCAGCAATTATTATTGAATCAGCCTTGCAGATGATTATTAGAATGATCAGTCCTATATATTAACTAATGGCTTCTGGCAGTATACATTTCTGCATACCATTTCATGTTCTAAATGAAGGAGTGGAGTTGTTTTGCTGGAGCAAAGTGAGTTCCAACACAAGTTTCCATAAATGCTAGTACAAAAAACAAATGGAAAAAGGCATTAAGCTCTTATGATGTCCCAGCATCTGCTTACTGTTGGGGTTTAAGTACAGATGCTAAATGTGGATGCCCTCAAGAAGCTTACATTCTAATAGGGGGGAGAAAACACCTAGGGAAGTGGTAGCTAGGGAAGTGTTTTGGGCTGAGAATTCACATTACCTAGTAGAGTAGCCCCATAGGGGAGCTGATTGGTACACCCTTTCAAAAGCAATGACAGTATTGATTTGATTACAATAACCAGAGAGGGAGAAGTGGAAGAATTACAAACCAGTTATAATTGATATTTACTAAAATACAGTTATTCATGAAGTGAATAGTTAAAAGTTTGCAGTGTTTTACATGCAAACTTAAGGTAGGTGCTGCAACTGTTATCCCCTTTTACAGCTAAGGAGATGGGCTCAAAGGAGCTGTGACTTGCCTCTGGTCATAAAGCTAGTGATAGAAGAAGGATTTGTCTTGGGCCAATAATAAAGCAAGTCTTTATTATGGCTGGCTTAATTATGTTGTTTTAAGGAAAAGGGCACTAGACTGAACGTCATAAGATCGGGGGTCTTGCCTGCCCTATTCTGTCACTGACTAACTTGCCTTGGGCAAGTCACTGCAACAATGGGATTTCCTTTTCTCCTCTCTAAAATGAGGAGGGTTAGATAAGGGGATGTCTGAGACTCAGCATCTCCAAAATTCCATAATTCTGTGTAGGACTGTCCTAATTCAATGAGAAATCATATAATGATTCAGAGAGGAAAATATTTACTTATAAGTGGGTCTTAGTAGCTAACTGCGCACATGGCCTGGCACATAAGCCCTAAATAAATAAATAACTGGAACTCATCATTTAATAACACAGTTTCTGGAGATCGGTGTTTAGGGAGAATCTTAAATAGGACATTGAGAACTCTCCTCCAGGCCCTTCTTTATTCGTGTGTGGTCTCCACTTTCCCCACTTTCTTTTCTTGTTAGCCTTTTTCTTAAGAAAATGACAGGTTGGTCTTTTACGGAGTTAGGCCCATCTTTTCTTTTTAGTATAAACAAACAGCCTGGAAAACAACCAGCATAAATTAAAGACTCAGTTTTCTCACCAGCCATTGAAATTAAATAGGAGGCATCCATGGTGTCGATCCCCAGAGTTTTAGCTCTTGCTACCAGATGGAAAATAGGGATGAAATATGCCAGCTGGCTGAATAGCATGCACCAGGTGAATATGTAGAATAAAGGGTTCTTCAATGGAGAGTTGTCGATGAGCTGCTTATAGAATCGAGGCTTGTTGCTGAAGACTGCTTCGTCATTGTCTTGGCATCCTGAGATTGCTGCCCCTTGACCAGTTGGTTCATCCTTGCTGACTAAGCAGTTTCCAGGGGAAGGCGGCTGTCCATCTTTGCCGGCTGGCACTTCCGGTGGACTTTCTGCATCTGTACTTCTGGTAGCCATGTGCTCTTCTCTTTTGATGCTGATGGGTCGTAAGAGCATACTGGAGGGCACTAAATTCAGTGAGATCCCTCCAAATAGTACAAGGGTACCTAAGTAGAAAATACAGTTAATGTTATAACTTTTGGTTATAGGTTTGGTAGACATTTCATTGTTAAAAGTTTTGAGCTGAAATAATCTTGTCTTAGTTTTGTACAGTGGTTCCAAAAGGTACCGAGAACCAGTTATCATAGGCTTTTTATCGTGGTCCTTCGTGTTACTGATTTGTCTCGGATGTTAGCCTTTCCTTTGGAGAATGATTACTGAATGTTGTCACATCACTAATAAAGCTCTTTTGCAGAGCTGGGCCTGTGGACCCAGGTCCTCTTTGTATTTCAGTTTGATGGATACCTTGTTTTAATTACCAGCAAAGTCCCCATTAGTTTTCCCTTGTAACAAAGAAAAACATTTAAGCAAAACCAGAGTACACAGACCCTGCCCTGACAGCTCTGGTGACATCCTGTACTGTATTCTGCCCCCTTCCCCCCAGGAAAGGGGGGCTACTCCCTCCTTTCTTTTCTAGAGTTGTGAGGGGGTGTTTGTGTATCTAGAGTTGATTTTTATCCGCTTTTTCTTCCATTTATAAAATTTGTGAGTAGTAATAACTAAAATGTTTGTTTACTAACATTAAGCTTAGAATCTGTTTTTCTTTTTCCTTTATTTGCTAATCTTAAAGGAAAAAATATTGGAAACTGCTGAGATGTCCTTTTTCACTTGGTCATTTTCACTGTTGTAGGTTTCCAAGTTACAAAGAGTGTTTCTCCCTGGTGACTGAACCCTGCTAGTTAATAAGCTTCTGTCTGATGCCTGCTGGTAAGCACTGAAGATATTTAGAGACCTGTCCCTCTAGTCCATCTCTAGGAAGTAGGAAATTAAGGGTCTTCCTGCTTTTACTCATTTCCCATTCAATTGGTTGCCACGGCATCCAGCCATCAAGTTACCAAGGGAGAAAGGAATGTATTTTTAAAAATGCATTCCGAGTCTAGCAGAGTTTAAGATGGCAGTAGAGCCATTGTCAGGGTGACTCACCTGGCCAGTCATATTCATCTATCAGGATTTTTGTGAGAGGTGCCAGCAGGAATGTCAGCCCCATCCCTGAACGAGCAACAGCCATCGACAGAGCCAGTCGTTTTTTGAAATATTTAGCCATTATCACAGAAGCTGCATGGTACATGCAAGCAGAGCCCAGACCTAAAAAAAGAAAGAGCAAACACTTGGAATCACTTTTGCTTCCATTGATAGGTGTGGGGATTCAATAAACATGTAAAAGATGACGTGTGGGTAAACGGCCCTCCTGAGCAGAAGGAATGTAACTGAATCAATGTGAGCAGCTGATGTCAGCAGGCTAGATAGGTTTGGACTCACCCGGTAGAAGCCCCATAGATATACAGAGGAAGGAGATGCCTGTGGCCAAGCTGCTGATCAAGTATCCAGTGCAGATAAGGAGGGCACCGAGCATGGACGTAGACTTCTCCCCTATCTTTTCACACAACACAGCACCCAGTGGAGCTGGGGAAAAGGGAATGAAGGAGACTTGAAAAAGAGGTTGTTCGAGAAAGTAAGACAATGGATGTTAAACTTTGTGGCATAGATTAGGGAGGAGAGTGCCCAGCACCATGATGACTTTGTGATTTCTAAGATGAAGAAGGGTTTGAAGGGAAATTTAAGGCCTGTCACGGTCAGCCGCACTGGGTTGTCTGACAGTCCCCAAATCCTTGCCACCCTGTTGTATTCCAGAATGAAGACACCAAAGGAGGATTAATTAGGAGCAAATGAGTTTCGGAGCTCCATTGCGAGTAAGGCTGGGGTGAGTGGGCTTAGTGAAGGTGTTAAGAGACACCAAGAGCAGTGAGAGATAAGAGAGTATGTAGGAGAGGGGGTTTGGCTGAAGTATTCTAACAGTTTGTTGAGCAGTATGTATTGAGTATGTATGTAAGGAGAGGCAAAAGGGAGAGGAGACAAAAGCTTGAGGGAAATGATTCCAGAGGGTCAGTGAGGGGTTTTTTTTGGTTTGTCTGTTTTTTGGCAGAGGAGAAGTTGAGGGTATCAGAATATTGGGGATAAAAGGTAAATTGCCAGTGGCTCGGAGCAAAAGCCTAGCTAGGTCAGCCCTTTAAGCCACCTTTTTATTAATAGAAAGCCAATAGTATTTTCTGCCCTGTCTCTTTCCCTCTAAGGGGTATTCATGTCATGTTAGATTCTAGTGAACTTGGGATGACTAATGTAGTGAAAATTCATTTTAAAGCATCAGTCTGTACTTGTGCAGACAAGTTTGAGTCTGTTGTTTGCTGTATTATAGCATCCATTCCATCTCTTTGGGATCAAGGTGGTGAATGATGGATAGGGGAGAATGGTAGCTTATATGGTAGACCCATGTGAATATTATGGAGCTACAACTTTGCATACTTGACCAGATAGTCGTTTAGCCCGCCAAACCATGCTAATTCTACCTGATTTGCCGGGTTTGCTAAAGATACATGTCACCCAGGGACATAATCAGTAGTTCTGGAAGTTGGGTCTGCACTGATATTTGGCACTCAATGGCGTGTAGATGAAGACTCAGCTTGAAAGGGTAAGATGTTTACAGGTCAGTGTGAATTTTGGTAAAGGTTTCCAAGGTTAAAGGTGCCTTTGCCAAGGTCTTCCTTCAGCCTTGCATGGCCGGGGCGTTTACCATTTGAAACAAGCATGGAGTTGTCTGCTGGTCTCATACCTGCAATGAAGCGCAACGAAGACAACAAAGATCCAATCCAGCCAATCTCTTCTGAAGTGCCACCAAATTCTTCTTGAAAAACCACGAAGAAAATTGCAAAGGTTTTGGTCAGTCCCATTAGAAGCATGTTTACCTAAATCAAAGCAGGCCAGATGGTTCAGGTAAGTGACTGGTCTGTTACGAAGTCTGCAGAGGAGGGTAATGGTGGTCATGAGGGGACTCAGAACTGAGAGACAGTAGTCAAAGGAGCTGGTGTGTTTTATCCTAAAGAAAACTCGGGGAGAACAGAAGTGTGCAGAATGAAAAGAGCATTCAGTCTTCAAACTAAGCTCCCTGGGCCTCAGTCTTCTTGTGTGTAAAGTCAGGGATTAGGTGCAGAGCTCATGTTTGCCTTCCAGCTCCAACAACCCCACAGCTCAGGCTGTTACCTTTAAAGGTTCCAGCTCTCAGCTTGTTCTCCATCATTAAATCGATTTTCTGCTTTGGTGAGAAGCAATACCGTGCGGGGATAAAGAGTCCGAGGGGCTGCTGATGACTAGCTGTGTGTCCTGGGGCAAAGGCCTCTGTGTGTCGGAAATGAGAGGGCTATACTGCATTTTCTTGGAGATCCCTGTTCCAACTCTGGGTCTGGGGCATTTTGAGGACTGATACCTGCTTGTAAATTCTATGGTAGGTTTTGTCCTGGGTGTCTGAGTTTGAATTAACCTAGGAATTAATTTTCCATCTTGCTTGGTCCTAAGACAAGGCATCTCTTTCCAATTATCTTTTACAGAAGAATGGTATTTAGCCCAAAGGTTATGTTGATCCGTAGCCCAGATTGTTACTTAGTGAAGGGCGCCCTTTCCAGTGATGTTCCAGCATTTCTTCCCTAGCAGGCTTGTGTCTGCTGAGCTAAGTAGAGGCCGATGGGCCCTCTAGGATTGTATCAGCTACCGAGCAGCGTGCTCAGACTGACTTCATTGTGGCTTTATCTTTGAATTCTTGGATAAGCCCTGAGCTCTGAGACGCGAGTGGGGAAGGGAATGTGTCTTATTAAGCCGCCATGTTATACATCTGCATTCCCTTGCTTTCTGTACTGACTGGAGACTGGCCACGATGGCATACATGTCAAGGTGTTGGTCTCACTGTGCACAGAGTTGGGTAGGCTTCCTTTCCCCATTCTTTCTGCACTTTTGTGTATGTTTCAGACACATCCCCAGAAACAACAGACTAGAAAAATAACTGTAGAACAAGGAAGTAAATCGCCATCACTCTAAATCTATGACAGTACCTTTAGGAAACCTTCCATCCTCAGATGAGGGATATGTTCACTTCTTGTAGGCCAGATGACAATCTCTCTTCCCTCTGATCCAAGAGTCCCTCAGCTACTGGCTAGGTGGCCCTGCTAGGCTTGTATCCCTCGTCTGTTTCCCCAGTGTCTTTGAGAAGGGGACCACATGGAGTAGAGTACTGATCACCTCACTCCCTTCTGCCATCTTGCTCTTCAAAAGAATGTATTTTCTTCCTCTCTCTTTCCCCCTGCCCAAGTCACATTGTGGACACGTGGAGTGGTCAGACAGAGGCAGGACTCTAGATGGCCAGGAAAGTATATTTAAAGTCTGCTTACCAGTATGTAAAATTAGCAAAGACCTATGCAGACTGCTTTTTTATCTTGTTTGGTCCTTACAATAGCCCTGTGAGGTAGGCACTGCAGGTCTAATACCTCTTTTACAAATGAGGAAACTGAGGCACAGAGCAGTTAAGTAATTTGCCTTTAGCTACAGAGCTATCAGTATTAGAGTATCCGAGGCTTCCTGACTGCAAGTCTAGCACTGTCCACTATGGTGTCCTGCCCCTCTAAGACAATAATTATACTAGCTATCTCAGAGTGAAGTGCTTTGTAAACTGTAAGGTAGTATATGGAAGATATACCTTATTACAGGAGATAGATTCCCTGCCTCCCAGGTTCAACTACGTTCTCCTACCCTTTCAGTGAGTGTTTATTATTAAGCAGTGGCTGTATGCAAGGCCCTGTACCAGGCTCTAGGAACACAGAGATGCAAAATAACATTGTCCCTGTCCTCAAACAGCTTACAAGGGGCATAAGGAATACATACATATGTACACACACACACACACACACACACACACACACATATATAGCAAATGAATACAAATAGGAGCTTCACAGTGCAATGAGAATTTTGCAGAGGAGAGATCCCTTTGTGTTGGGGGATCAGGGACGTATTACATGAAGGAAGCCTACCTAAGTTGAATCTTGGGAAGAAGTGATTATGTAGTGATTCTGTGGGTGAAGGAGTGATAGGGAAGGGATGGCACTAGGGCTTGAGGATGACATGGAGCAGCCGCCGCCTGGGGAACGTGACGGTTAGGAATTGCTCGGCTGCAGGGAGCACCCAGTTGAAGTGGACCCAGTCACCTCAGTTTTTGTGACTGTGCCCAGAGACGTTTGGCTCTTCCAGAGGAAGGAGATGGGAGCTTTTTCCAGGGTTGTTAGAAGGTTACCATGGTGAGAAGGGTAGTCAGGAAGCAGTGGTGGACGATCAAACAACATAGAAGTGGCAGACAGGTCAGCTGCGGGCGAGGAGGGGAGGGGAGGGGAGGACTGAGGATGGGGTTGATGGACTGTGAGGGTATTGGGAATGGTGAGAACAAAGAACAGATTTGGTGGGATTAAGGGAAAGGGAGGAAAAGAGGTGGAAGGGCAGGAAGTTACAGTCCTGGACTTGGGGTGGGGGAGGCGCAGCAGGGGAAAGGGATTATTTCCAGAGTTGTAGATTTTTGAGAAATAGATCACCACACTTATTTCCAGATACTTTCTGTTGTTCTGGGTATCAGAGATTTTGCTGAAGTGTTCGTGGTTGGAGATGATTTTGCTTCACTGAAGGACACTGCTTGTATACCCTTTCTGTAGACTGCTGGCTCATCAAATGGGTCTGGGTCAGTTTTTCCCCACCTATAGTGTGCTGATCTCATGGTGCTTAGTATTGTATTGTCCTTACCTCAAAAGTAATGAAAGACTTATTTCCCTGGGTGCTAAAATTGAGGCCTTTCCTCACCTTAGCTACACAAGCTAGGGTCTGTGGCACAAATTTCAGTACCCTGCGTTTTCCTTATTATGTGCCCAATGCTATTCCCCTCATTGAGGCCCCCGTTAGAAAACTACAGCAGACCTGCCAATTTACACTTCTTATTGCCACATCCCTCAAGTTTTAAGAACAGTCTTTTTTTTTTCTTTTTTTGCTAGGCAGCGGGGCTAAGTGACTTGCCCAGGGTCACACAGCTAGTAAGTGTTATGTGACTGAGGCTGGATTTGAATTCAGGTTCTCCTGACTCTGGGACCAGTGCTCTATCCACTGCACCACCAGATGCCCAAGAACAGTCTTTTGTGTCCTCCCCACCATCTTCAGCATCTCCCCTATCCCCTGGGAAACACCTTAGAGCTAAAATCTCTCTCACCAGACCACTCTGACATCTTATCTCTTGCTGGCTGGTATGTCTCCACTGGACACTTGGACTAAGTACTCTTGGCATTAATCTAGTAAAACTAAAGGCAATTATATATTCCTGAGAAGGTCATAGGGATATGCTGACCAACAAGGATTCTCATCCCATCAAATAACTAAGTCTTATATTGACAAAGAAGGGGTTATCCATTCCTGTTCTCTCAACATCAAGGTCATTGAGAACAGGCTTCTTTGACACCTACCAATACCTTGTGTAACAGAACCAGAGGAGAGCTGACAACATTTCCTAGAAAAGAAAGTTGGGAGGCAGGCAAAAATAATACTGGGGAATCTTTCTCTCCAGCAGCAACTACCTTCAGCCCGTTTGAGATATTTTTCAGTGAATGTTGGTGTGATTTAGCTTAGACATTTATAAGCCTTGATAGTAAGGTATAGCCTGTCCATAATCCTGTTCTGTGGGGACCTATTTATTGTGTTTCTGTTTCCTCCACCAGAGAGTGATCTTAAGTGAAGTAAGAATAAAACAAAAGGGTTTAACAGGAAACAGAAATCCTCACTGTCCTTGGTGAAGTCAGGTCATTTGGCTTAAGTGAATTACATCTACAGGTATTGAAAGAGCTTGCCATGATTACTAATCTGCATTTCATCTTCGAAGCACCATCTAGAGAGGGCAGTGGGTCAGAAGGATGGTGAAGAGACTCAAGTGTGTCATAAGAGGATGGGTTGAAAAAGCTGGGGCTGTTTGTCTTTGAGAAGAGAGGACTTGGAGACATGATCATTCTCTTATAGTATTTAAAGATCTCCTTCCCTAAACTGACTTCTTGCATCTAACCTTTTCCTCTGTCTTCAGAACTTCAAACTACATGCATACCTGTTCCTCATACTTCTAGCAGATGACTTTGGTCTCCGTCTTCTGGAGCAGAGTACGAGTCTTGTTCAGGTACGAGTCGGGTTAGGTGGTCTCTGAAGTAGCTTGGAACTCTGGAGATTTTATATTTCTGTGAAATAGAGGACCCTGACAAGAGCTTCCTGAACATCTTTGTCAATTCTGTTGTCCTTCCCTCCCAACTCTGAGGAAGAAGTGTTTCCCTACCTGTGGCCAAGGATTCAAATTCTAGGTGCCACATTTTAGGGAAGGACATTGACAGACTGGAGCGGGTGCAAAGGAGTGTGAGGAGTCTCAGAACTGTGCCCCAAAAGAATGGGCTGAATTACCTTGCCTGTGTCCTTGAACCCCCTTCCTCCAAGTCATTACCCCCCTCTCCAATGGATCTTTCATCTGCCAATAAACATATTTAGACCTCCTCAAACCGAATACCTTCTTTTGACCCTTCTATTCTTTACAGCTAGCAACCAAACCTTCTTCCCCCTTCATTGCCAAATTTTTTTTTAAAAAAAGACTGGATTTGATTGCTTCTATTTCCTTAGCATCTCTCTAGAAACATGGCTTCCATCATTATCACTTCACTGAAACAACTCTTGAGGGTCACTAATGACCTCCTAATTATCACATCTGATAGCGTTTTTTTAAGCCCTTCTTGACGTCTTTGCAGTATCTGATACTTGAACACCCCCTTTTTTGATATTTTCATCTCCCTTGGTTTCTGAGATGACTTACTTAAGTACCTAGGAGATGAAAACAACATTGTGTCTGAAAAGAGCTCACGCTGATAGTGGGCATGTGAACTGTGTATCAATAAACTGATACAATCTAGAATGAAGACTGAGGTTATTTTAGTTGGAGTAGAATTTTATGAAAGACTCCTTGGAGGACATGACAAGGAAGCTGAGCCTCGAAAGGAAACAGTAAAGATTGAATGAGATCAAAATCAGTACTACAATTTGGCTGGGATTCAGAATGTGAAAGTGAGTAGGATGAAATGAGTTGGGGAAAGGAGTAAAGTAAGTTGGGGCTATGTTATGGAGGCCTTGTAATGCCAGGCTAAAATTCTTATAACTATCCTAAGAGGAAGGACTTGACCACCTGCCCCATAAAGCAGCTCTAGAACCACAGAATTCTAGAGCTTAGGGTCACCTTCCAGCTTGAGAACCAGACTGGTGTCCCTATCATAATCCGAGAGAGAGCATTTCTTGGGCAATTGATGGTGTTAATTAGCTGAAGATGAGGTCAGTGACCTCCTTAAAGACTCTGGGCAGCATGAAAGTGATTTTACTGTCACAAAACAATAATATGCCTTTGGAGAAATTTTCCTGGGAAGTATTTTTTTCAAGTAGATTAATTTTAAGCCTGACTTCAAGATGGCAAGCAAAAGGGAAAAAAAATTAACAAGTTTTTTAAGTTAGAATCACACAATTTACGAAGTTAAATCATAGCATCTCATGTTGAAAACAAAAAATATCTCCGAGAGGAAAATGAGTGAAATCGGCATTTGGCAAATGGTTTATTCTAAGAGAAATTGACATTTAGTCTTTTTTGGTTCCTCTGCATCTTAGGAGTCTCTGAAACTTGTCCAAGCACTCACTACCTCCTCCTTCCGGGACTGTATAACACTAGCCTCCCAATTGTCCCCACTCCAATAAGGCTTGCCTCCCTCCAGCTGCCAGTTCAGGTTTGACCATGACACTCTCCAGCTCAGGAAGCTTTCCATAGCTTTTAGGACAACATACAAACTCCTTTGTTTGTCCCTAGGATAAACAATCTTTGGCAGTTTGGCTCCAGGCTATTTATCTAGGCTGATTATATGTTAACTTTGCTTCATACACTGACTGTATGCTCTGGCAGGGGTGGGGACCCTGCGGCCTCTAGGCCACATGTAGGTCCTCGGGTGTGGCCTTTTGACTAGGTCCAAGTTTCAGGGAACAGATCCTTCTAATTAAATCGATTTGTTCTGTGGAGTTTGGGTTCAGTCAAAGGGCCACCCTTGAGGACCTAGAGGGCCACATGTGGCCTCGAGGCCGCAGGTTCTCCCACCCCCAAATCTAGCCAAAAGTGATCTGTTCCATTCTCATAGATGACATCTCTGGCTTCCATGTGTTTGCACAGGCTGTTCCCTAAGTCTGGATTGCTCGCCTTCCTCCTTCGCTGGAGTGGTACCTTCTCCAAAGTGCCTTTCCTGGGACCCCCAGGTTATGGTGTCCCTACCCTCATCACCGTATGTTATTTGTGAGTCTCCCAAGTGTTTACGTTGTGTGTCTGTGCCCCATCACTGCAGATTTATTGAGCGTGTCTCCTAATTCTGGACATGTTCTCTTCAGTAGCATATAGGTGTTGAAACTGGCTCCCTTTAGTATTGCCAGGTGCTTGCACAGTGCTGGCTCATAGAGGAGGTACCTAGTAAGTGCACATTGAGTGAGGACCCCACCCAAGGACTACCTGAGGCTACTTCCTTTCCCTCCAACTTAAAGAAATATATACTGCCTAGCTGGTGAATACCTTGTATGGCAAAATTCTGGTATCCACTAGGGATGCTTTTCCACTTCCTAGACACATTGTGGGCAACCAGGTGGATAGAGCACTGGGCTTGGGATCAGGAAGACTCATCTTTCAGAGTTCAAATCTGTCCTCAGACCCTTCCTAGCTGCGTGACCCTGGGCAAGTCACTTAACCCCGTTTGCCTCAGTTTTCCCATCTGTCAAATGAACTAGAGAAGGCAATGGCAAAACCACTCCAGTATCTTTGCCAAGAAAACCTCAGACAGGGTCACGAAGAGTCAGACACAACTGAACGACAAGACACATGGCCTGCTCCCTACTGGGCTGACAACCTGAGCATTGTTTTGTTTTCTGACTGTTTCCTAAAGCCAGCTGGAAATTATTCAGAGCCTCCCTTCCCTTTCCCACTACCAACACCATCACACAGTGAAGAGTCGCTGCTGTCAGGAATGGCAGTGAAGCTAGACTTGTCTGTGGTTGTGTAGACCACAATACGGACATACAGAATATAGAATTGCCACAGTTCTCGGAACGGGCGATGGGGAGGCGGGATCTCACAGACAAAGCTGCTTATGTCTGTCTCCACTGTTCCATGGGTCAACTTGGACCCTTCCCCCTGCCCCTTTTTTTTCCTTTCACAAAGCTCCTTGAGGGAAAGGGAGTAGACTAATTATATATAGAAATGGGCGTGAAGTCCAGTTACTTTTTAACAATGAGATAGCTCAGGGTGGGGAAAGGTCAGTGTCCTAGTAGGTTGTCTTTTTTTTTTTTTTCAGTTAAGAAAGTTACAAATACTTGTAGATTGACAATGAATCTTAATCCACCTCAGTAAGCAGGAGAATTCAGCTACTCTCCTTGCCCCTTTCCATAATGATGGGTGCTGCTATCCTGCATGGTTAGTTTGTCGTCCTTCCTTCTTGAAGAGGACCAAAATGACATCACTATGTTGGGGTTAAGGTACGCTGTGTCCAGCGGTGGCCGATCAGACTACACATGAGCTTGGAAAGCTCTGTCTACTGCAGGTTGGGCACCAGTAATTCGTTTGGACATTTGGAATGGAGAAGCTCTAAGCTGGCGCATTTCACATCTCCTTTTGATCACTACAATTCTGCAGTGCTCGTAGAGCACAGTGCCTTATCTGATGTGGGCATGTCCTGTGCCAGTGCCTCCCAGACTTGCGTACTTGTGGAAAGGAGTGAGGCGTGGGCATTTGCCACAGTCATTTCTCTGTCAGCATCTTGGCAGCATCCCTTTATGTCCCCAGAAAAGGACCGACCCTACTCACTGTGCGACACCCCCGTGTCCCAACTGCCAGGAAGCTAGAGTAAAGCAGCGGATAGTAGCTCGGCTTTCTGATAGGAAGGAAAACGTATCATCTCATAAACTTTTACCAGGAAGAAATGGAACACTATCATCCACCCCCATCCTCCGTCAAGGGGTTCAGCGTAAGGGCGTGACTTTGTCCCCTTCAGCATGACAACTGTTCCCGCTCCTCTCGCGCCCGTAAGAGAATCCTGCAAGAAAGTGCCCGTTTCCTAGTTAGCAGTTCAAGTAAGCTTTTAGATCCCCTTCATTTTAGTGGTACTCTGCAGTCTACTAATTTAAAGAAACTCACTACCTCTCTCTTTTCCTTTGCTTCCTTTAAGTTCTGAGCTTATAGCATAGGTTCTGTGACCTCAATCTCAAAAATCCTGTTCTGTCTACACTGTACGCTTTTGAGAATTTTCTGCTGTCTTGTTTACACTTTTTTTTTTTAAACAAAATTGACTTCCTGTGTGATGGTCCCTGAAAATCATTCACTCCCTGCTTATCTGACCCTCGGGACTGAAGGTCTGTTAGTGGGTTAAATAGAGATAAGGATCACTCAAATGGTGTAATCAAAGGGGTACTAAAAAGCTGACTCACCAGAAAATCTTTGACCCATTACCTTAGGGCATTCTTTGACATTCTCACTTATTTGAGGGGAGGGATCCCTGATCATCCCTGTCTTGGTTGAATGAAGAAGTCCTCTGACACAGGGTCCTTTTCACCCCAATTTCCCATGATAGGTTTGGCCAAACCAATTCCCTTTTACTTTTTCATGATGTTATTAGTTTGGGAGATACTTTAATTCAATAAACAATTAGCACCTATTGTGTGGAAGTGCTCACAAAGATGAAGAATTATAGGTTCCCTCTTCTCAGGGATATCCTTAATAAAGTCTAACAGTTGGCCCTCTCCCAACCTCCAAAAAGACTGAGGCACCTTACGGCATCTCCAGAAAGCCCCTCATCTGTTAAAGATAATGTTAGAATATGGCCTGGTTAACACACTGCATTGGCATGGATTAGTTTACGAGTTCCCCACAGATCAGGGTAGGTGGTGGTAGGCAGGACAGACCCAGTTCTGGGACAGCCTGGCAACACTAAATGCCTCAATTGCTGGACTGTGATGGGGGAAGGGGATAGGCTGGTATTGGGGGAGGAATGTATCCCCACTATAAGTCAAATGAAGCACAAAATTCCATTTCCATCTTACCTTTTGATGTAAAACTCGGGAAAGGAAGCCTCATCAAGTAAGTCAGTTTAAGAAGAAAAGTAAATTATAACATGTCTCGGATTTTTATTCCTTTTCAACAGCTCCTTGCTTCAGCATGCGTGAAACGTAGCACAAGTGAGCATTTATAAGAGCCTGAAAAAAGAGCAGACTGAGCAAAACCAGTCTTGGTTCCCAACGGACTTTACTTCCTGAAGGGAGGGGCAAGGCCTGTCATTTGATCCAGCCAATATCCTTTCCCAAGTGGTCTCTCAGCACTCATCCCTAGGCCTATCCTTCTAGCTCCTCCTAGGTCCACAAACTCTCTTCTATTGTAAACAACCACCCTTTCATTCTTTATCTCCTAAATGTCTATCTTTTGGATTTCTCCTGAAAGTCCCTGGCTATCTTTTCCAATGGGAACGCTTCATCTCCTTCACTCCCTCCTTTCCTTCTTGGACCAGGAGTCAGCATACTGCTATGCCAGACTTGCCTCTTGAAATTCATTAACTTCCTGTTACTTCATCCTGACCTCCAGGTTATTCCCTTTCTTAATTTACTTCATATGGCTGAGGTTTTTTTGTCTGTTCTTATTCCTGTCATCGTTGAGACCTTCAGTATTCACGTTGATGACCAATTACCCTGGCCTTCAGATCAAATTCACATCAGTTCTCCCACTCAACCCCAACTCGTTTACAACTTCCTTCCAGCCAGTCATTGAGTGATGATGACGTTTAGGATATGATCACCTCCAACTCTGAATTTTTACATTGCCTACTCCAGGCTCTTTTATTATCTTTTCTACTTGGCTTTTGGGACACTGCTTTCCTGGTTTTCCTCCAGTAACAGATCCCATTCCTTGGTAGGCTCATCATCCTGTCCCTTAAGTGTGACTAGCACCTACTATAGTGCCACAGCCACTGGGGCCCATTAGGGCTTGATTCTTTCCCATGTCTAGTATTCTGAATTATCTTACCATTCTGGATTGTCAGTTCTGTGCAGGTAACTCCCCAATATATACACCTGGTCCAATTTTGCCCTTGAATTAGCCCCTTATCTTCAATTTTGCTTGCTGAACATTTCTTTGGATTCCTGCCCCAATCCTAATCATGTCCAAAACTGAAGCCATCTTTAATAATGAACCTGCCTGCCCTGTTTCTGTTAATGGCACCTCCTCATTACCCATGCTGGAAAGATTCATGTCAAAGTCCAGCTGGTTCTTGCATCCCTCACCACCCCACTCTCCATTCACTCTGCCTGTACTTTAGTACATGTCTCTTACATGGAATGAAATAATCTAACTTAGCTTTTCTTACTCCAGGTTCCCTGTCCCCTACCCCCTTTCCAGCCATCCTCATAACAAAACGGCCAATCACTCAAAATCAATCATTTTCTCCTTTCAGATGGGATGCAGATTCCATCATAAGGCTGTCTGTGCACCTGCCTCGCCAGCCTTTACCACCCTCCCTTGATGCATTCTGTGCTGTAGGCAAGGTAGTGTCCCAGATCTCCTCTCCCACTACTGAACTTGTCATCCTCTATATAGTTCATGCAACACATCCATGCCCAAAATGCACTCTCCCTGTCAAAAACTTACCTTCCAAGACTCAGTTCAGGTGTCACCTCCAAAAACCCTTTCCTAATCAGTGTTGTCCCTCCCTTTTTCTGGATCCCTTCCTTGCCTCCTTCATATTCTATTGCATCATAATTACTTGCCCTTCTTCCCTTTATAGGATTTTTGATCCTTGGGCATGGATGGGCATTTTCTTCTTTTTTTTTTCTGGCAGCCCCAGTCAAGTAGAACTTCAATACCCGATCATAGTGTGGAGATGACCTTGAATTCTTGAAGATGCAGCTGGCAGAATAAGAGTTCTGGCAAGAGCTATAAAGGCTTAAGATTGTGGGCCTAGTGGGTATTAGATTTAAGTGTGGACAAGCTCATAATCAAGTTGGTCATGGTAATTAAACCTTTGTGGTGGTAGGACTACAGCAGGATATCAATGTCACCACTACCCACCTTGACAAAAGCCCAGATCCTCTGAAGTATTTCCAATTGTTTCTAACATAGTAGGCACATAAATGTTTAACTGACCTGAACTATGTAAGGCACATTTCTTTAACACCTTAAAAAATGTCCCTTATAACAACCCTGAGAAGTAGGTAATGCTTATAAGTTAAGTGATTAAGATGGGGATACTAGCTCATGTTTCCTGACTCCAAATTTTTTTTTTACCATACTCCATGTAAGACAACAGGATCCAGAAATATCTCAAAAAGCTGGAATGATGGGCTGAATAGAATAAGCTGAACTTTACTAATAAATGTGAAATCCTTTACCTAGGATTAGAAAAGTCTAACCACATAAGGACAGCATGGGAACGATGGGGCTAGAGACAATAGCTCAGTGTTGATCAACAGGTATGGCATTCCTGTCCTGCATCGTCTGAGGCTATACTGGCAGCAGTAGTGTCTGTACCGGCTAGACTACATCAAGAACAGGGAGGTGACGTTTGCTTCTGGGAGTCACAATTCAGGAAACACACTGACAGAAATGGAGCGCTTCCAGAAGGCAAATGAGGTGAAGACTCAAATGTTCTGAGGCATGCTTGGAGGACTTGAAGCCATCTTGAAATGTTTGAAGATGTGTCTTATACAAATCATCTTCAGAGGACTGCCCTGGCATGGGTGGATTAGAAAATGGAGAAGGGCAAATTTTGGCTCCGTACGTGGAAGGACTTCCTAACAAACTGCAGACAGGCGTTCAATAAATATTTATTGCATGAAATTATATTAGAGAATATTTCCTCTTACTGTAAAATTACAATTTTTTCCTAATACTTGTGATAGCTGCTCTCAATGTAGGGCAACAAGGATCATATTTCACTTGCAGTAGATCAAGCATCTGCTTGCCTGCTTATATATGGTTATGCATATTATACATATAACTTAGAGAAGACGCATTCCTTACTTTCAGAAAGTTAATTATTTTAACAGACTAAACATAAAAGTATTTTCCTACCACCTCTCCCATTTCTTCTTATGCTAAGTGTCCTTTGCTGGAGAAATTAAGGTTAATTAGCCATCATACCCCCATCATCGGACACCACTCTTTTGGAGAAGGCAGGGGCTTTAGGAAAACTTGGAAAGGTATGCAGTTCGGATCATAAGCCTTTTAAAAGAAAATTTTGATCTTACGCTATATAGGTTGTGTGATGCAAACATCTTATACAATCTAGGAAAAGCTCAGTGCTTTTCTCCAGCTATATTTATTGACCATACCCAAAGTCCAGCGATACAGAAGAACCTGATTTTGACAGGTGCCTTAAAACCTTATTACCCTTTCTCACTAAGTGCTTACCAAAGGCAACTTTAAAATAATAAACAGGAAAAAAGCAAGTATTACATTTAATAGCTGGCCTGATACTAGCACTTAAACGTGGAGCAGGATAAGAGAAATGAGATGGAAAGATTGGTTTGAGTTCTACAACTGTTTGGAGACTTAGGTCTGAGAGGTCAAGATGCCATTTTATGCACTGCCACGGTGATGCCATCATGTTTCTGGATCATTATATTCCTGAAAGGCAAAGCAGAGGAAATTTGATAATGTTTATTCAAACCGGTGGTGTCATCACAGGCTGGTCTCCAACTTAATGACCATATAACCATTCTATCTGCTTTATTACTAGGAAATAACAGAAGTTTAAAGTCATAGCTAAGATACTAGGGACTTCACATTTTAAAATTATTTGGGTACATGTCACTACTGTCACAGAAAAAATGACATCTTTTAGGATGACTTTTTTTCTCTGCTACTCATTTCTTGGTTCAAGGGAATATCAGGTCTACATTTATACAATGTACTATCAAATTTATCTTTAGTTTCTATAACTTCTCTTAAGGTGTTAATTAATCTAATGTGGGAAGGATTAACAAAATTAATACTGGGGCATAGGGAAATGCTACCAACCCATTTGCTATATTTGTGGTTCTAAAGCTGAGGTTGTTAATGTTCCGAGGAATCTGTGAATAGATTTTAGGGGGTTTGTGAATTTGGATGGGGGAAAAAAATTCCATCTTTAGTTTCCCTAGCCTCTAGAGTATTTCCTTCACTTATGAATGTAGGAGAAAAAAAAAAACCTTATTCTGAGAAGGGTTCCACATCTATAGGCTTCACCAAGCTCCCAAAGGTGTTTATAAAACACAAAAGGATTAAGAACCCTTTGCTTTAAAGCAGAGGTTCCCAAACTTATTTGACCTACTGCTCCTTTTTAAAAAAAAATTACTCAGTGTCCCCCTGGGGTTAAGTTAGGTTAACCCTTATTTTTATTCAAGAGCCCCCAATTGCACCCGAGGCTACTATCACCCCCCTGGATAGTTCCAGCACACCCCAAGGGGTGGTATCTCCCACTCTGGGAACCTATGCAAAGGAACATGTAAATACTCCTAAAGGACATAGGGAAAACCTTCTTTTCAGTCAGCCCAATGATAGCATTGAAATGTGAATGAAACATGGAGGCGCAACTCTGATTTGAGATAAAATTTCTCATCAATAATGGGAAAGAGGGGGCCTTTAAGATTAAGATCTAACTCTACATACTCACCCATTGTCTGACTCTAGACAGACCACAGGAATGTCTGTTGGGTCAGAGGTTAGTTTAGCTGCTTGTTGGGCTAGGACAGAGATCACCCCGGCATGTTCATCTGACAGGGTTCCACGGCCTAAAAGACACAGAAATGCTCCAACCTAAGCATCTACTCTTTGGGATGACAATAGTAATAAATATGTAGAATTCCAATTCAGTGAAGAATGTTTTAACTCACTCCCGCTTATGCTAATTTCTGGCTCAATCTACACAATCAAGTTAGGTAATTGCCAGTCTTAAACAAAGGGCCACCAGAAAGCTCTGCCTTAAATTTCATGATCCATCCCAATGAGGGAATGAAAGCTGTATTTCAGATCGATCTGAAAGTCACACAGGTTCAGTCATGCAAAGTCAACTGAAATAAGAAACTGATAAAACAAATTAATTTTTTGACTTCATTTACTAAACTCAACCCCCCTGTGTCCCCTAAAGCCTTCTGTCCAGGATCAACTCACCTTGACAATGTGGGCACTCTAGAAGCTCTTTATTTCTTGGTTAGAATAAACTGACTTTTTTATTTCCTGAGGCTGAATCCTCCTAAATCAACTTAATGCTAGTAAGATGGGTTTTTATTGATGCCTTATTTCAGTCTTGGGATAATGGGTAAGCCTGAGGTCCTACAAACCAACAGTAATAAGTTTACTTTGAAATATGTTAGCAGCTACAAGAAACAAGCATCCCCTAATTGTGTCTAAAACTAAGCCAGGTAACAGAGGTGTCACCACAACAGATTATGTGGATTTACTGCTGATTGCCGCCTAAGATGTAAACCACAGAGACTCAGTGCTGTTTTACAGGACGGAAGGAAGCCTCTTGGGGACACAAAGTCAAGTTTCAGAATTTAGGCATCTGAATTCTAAACAAGTTTTACAAATGAATCTAGAAAGTAACTTTAACCCTTTAACTCCCCCCCCCCCCCCCCCCACTGCAATCTGCCCAGATTGCATCGGTATCCCTTCCACACACATTTTTTCACACAGAACTCTAGCATGGATTAAAGGCCACGAAAGCCAAGTCTAGTACTGACTGTGGCATGAACAAGTAACAATCTCCATGGTCCCAGTTTCTTCACTTGTGTAATGAATGGATGACCTCTAAAATTCCTTATAATGCCAACATTTATGGTACTACTCTTATTTTAATGGAAACAAATGAAATTTGCTGCCAGGGCCCTCACAATTTCTTTGAGGCTACAAAACCCTAGCAATGGGTCACCTCTTTATAAGTACCCTCACAAAAGTTATTAAAATTTTTTAAAACTGTCTAAACATCAAATAAAAGGAGTATCTCCATATACAAAGTAGAACAAAAAGGATTAAGCATAAACCACAAATCACATCTTAAGTACAGCTGTCCTTCTTTGTGTTTCCTTCTTCATATTTAAAAAAACTGCTTCACTGATCCTTTTTTTTTTTAAAGAGGCAATGGGAGTTAAGCGACTTGCTCAGGGTCAACAGCTAGCTAGTAAGTGTCTGAGACCACATTTGAACTCAGGTCCTCCTGACTCCAGGGCCAGTACTCTATCTACTGTGCCACCTAGCTGCTGCACTGATCCTCTTTAGCAACCTGGTATAATCTTCCTTCTCACTCCCCCTTCCATCAAAAAACAACAACAACAACACCCCCAACCTTACAAAAGCATTTTTCTGATCTTCCTGTGAATACCAGCGCAAAAGGTTTCAAATAAGGGCCTGGTGAAGATCCGCTGTAGTCTGAGCCAGTCTAGCTCATTTGAAAAATGAAAACAAAGTTTGGCTGTCATTTTTTTTTAGCTGCAGCAAATCAATTAAATAAACAATTATTAAGCACTTATTGTGTATAAAGCCCTATGCTAGGGATACTAGAGAAAACAAAAACTCTGTCCTTGCCCTCAAGGAGCTTACTTTGTGACGGGCAGTACACAACTCTAATACCTTATCAATAAAAGATGGAGGTTCCACTAACATGGTGGGTTTTTGAACAGGAGGAAAGGTCTTCTATTGGAGTTGGTACCAAAGTTGAACCTTAGAAGCAGCCACCAAAAAATTCTAAAAAGCAATGATGAGGAAGGAGTCTCTTGGCATGGGGGGTGGGGACCATGGGCAGCCTGTGTAAAAGCATGGAGGGGAGATGGCGTGCCAAGTACTGGAAATAGATAATTTGCCAATATGGCTGGAATACAGAGGGTATGAAGCAGAATATAATGAAACAAGGCAGTAAAGGTAAGCCAGGCTGATACACAGAATGATTCAGAGGAGAGACACCTCTGAAGTGAACACAGGCAAGCCACTGAACTTTTCTGAATTTCAGATTACTCAGCTGTAAAATGGGGTATAATAAGACCTGCAAGGCTTGCTTCACAAGGCTGTTGAGGCCCAAATAAGGTGTCTATAAAGTAGTGTCAGTTATTAAGGGAGGCTCAAGGCTAAGGAGTTTGTACTTTATGCTCTAGACAAGGGGAGAGAGAAGATTTTGGAGGGCAGTGTCATGATCAGACCTGAATTAGGAAAGTAATTTTGGTAGCTGAGAGGAGAATGAGAATGGAGAAACTGGGAGCAGGGAGACCAATTAGGAGGCTATGACAATCTGAACTAGGGTGGTAGCCACTGAGTGAAGAGAAGGGATAGCAGAATCAACACAAGCTGGCAAATGGTGGGACAGGGGGGAGGGGGAAGGAGAGGGAGAATATGCTACTGCCCTCAGCCCAAATAAGGAGTTTTAGGGGAAGAGGTTTCAAGATGAAGATAATAGTTCTGTTTTTAATAAGTTTTTGATAAACTATCATACCTCCAGGGGATGCCACAAAGGCAACTGATAATATAGAAGCGGAGTTCAGGAAAAGATCAGAGCTGGAAACACAGGTTTGAAAGTCATCAGCGCAGAGGTACATTGAATCTGGTAACAGATGAAACCAGGGAGAGCACGTGTGTGGAAGAGGGACCAGGACAGCCCTAGAGAAGTAGACACGTTGAGGAGGTAGGGGACGGCTGGCATTTCAGCAAAGGAGGCACCTCATAGGATGAAAACAGAAAGACAGAACCAGGAGAAAGCAATGCCAAGAAATCCAAATAAGGAAAATATGTTCAAGAAGGGATGGTCAATAGTGTAAAGGCTTTGGAGAAATCAAGGTGCATGAAGACTGAGGAAGGCCGCTGGATTCAGCAGGTAAAGAGATCCTTGGTAACCTTGGAGGAAGCCCAATTACAATTACATGTGGTTGAGAAATGAGTGTCTGGTAAAGAAACAGAGGCCTAGAGTATAGACAATTTTCTCAAGGAGTTTGGCACTGAAAAAAGATGGCAGCATGTGGGGAGGGCAGAGGCAAAGAAACTTTTAAAATGATGGGTCAGACAAGCTTAACTGTAGATGGAGGGTGATGAGAGGGAGGTAATGAAGTCGCTAGATGGGGAGTAGTTATCTATCCCTGTCCTAAGGAATCTCCCAAAGAATCCCTAAACTACCTAAGACTAGTATTAGGGAATGACTGATGAAACTGGCTCTTTGAAGATGAGATTGAAGGCATAAGTAGAAGGGTTTGCCTTTTCAGGGAGGGCTGTGTCTTCCTCAGAGACTGAAGCAAAGAAGCATAGATAGGATGGATGGAGATGTGGAAGAGTTTTGGGGTGTGAGGTAGGGAAAAGGGGATGGGGTGGGGATGTCAACTGCTTATGTTGCTTTTCTCCCTTAAGCAGGAGACCTGCCTCTTTAAAAAAGGCAGCAGTGATCCTACATGGGGTTGGGAGCTGAATAGAGAAGTTTGCAGGTGACAAAATCGCACAGAATCCAGGAAGAGTTAAAAGATTGCACTGAAGGCCCACCTGAAATTATATAACAAATCAGTAATGAAGCCAGTTAAATTTTATTTCTTCCAGTGACAATTCACAAAAATCCTCTACCCTAGGTTGAAGAAAGATTAATGTTTTCTACAGTGAAAAGAGAAGCTATCCTGTGAAACCACAGATTTTTTTAAATCTTGGAAATTCTAGTAAAGAAAACAGCTCAGAGAAACAGGTGTAGAAAGATGTAGCCCTCTATCCCCTTATAAAATGCAAGGACATCAGTGTCACAAACACTATAATCAACAGTAGTAACAATATATAGACCAATCATGGCACTTTGCATATCACTATGTCCCTTCTTAAAGAACACCTGTGGCCCGTGAGGTCCTGGCCTTCTTGCTATTCTCACCTATAACACTCCATCTCCTGAGTGAATTCTTTGTCAACGGTTATCCCAGCCTGGAATGAGGACCTCTTCACGCCCCTCCCGCCCCCCAAGAAATCCCATCTTCCCATCTTCAGCAAGAGGCTTTATCTGCTCGTCGCCACCAGGGGTAGAGCCTTTACTCTGAGGATTCCCTTCCACTTAAACTGTATTTTTTTTTGTATATAGAATCATTTGCACGTTGTCCTCCCCCGTCAGAACACGGGATCCTAGCGTGCAGGGATCACACCGACCTGGGCCTGCATCCCCAGCACATAGTAGGCGCGTTATGCCTGTCCGAAGTATCGGACAACTAGGTACCGCCCGTCTTTTCTCCTTTCACCTTCTTACCAGGAATAGGCATGGAAATGGGGGGGGCGTGGGTGGGTGACCCCCCCTGCCGCCCCAGGGTCGGGGTACACGCTCTTTCTCGAAGATGCTACTTACAGCCCAGGTTCAGTCCCTGCGAGTCCGTACACAGGACGCCGACGATGGACGGGTTCTTCATCCTAGCACAGACCAGAGGCCGACGTTACAGGAGCCCTTTTCTACGCGAGGCCCCCCCACGGGGCCGCGGCCAAAGCGCTACAGGAACAGTCCCGCAGCCCCACCAAGGGGCCCCGAGGCCGGGGCTGCGGACACGGATACCCGCGGGCTGGAGCAGGGAACGCGCCGCCTCCCTTCCCTCCCCTCCCTCCTGGGCCAGGCCTCCAGGAGGCCACCGAAGGGCTCGGACCGTCCGTGCCCACACCACCTACGTGTCCTCGAGGTGCTGCTCCAGGGTAGCCTCCATCTCTGTCTTGACAGCCGATTAGTCCGGGCCGCTCCCGGGGCGTCGCATCATGTGACCGCTCCCTCTCTGGCCCGTGATACAATCACGTGGCTTCAGCGGCCCTGGAGCAACAGCCACGCGACGGGGCTTCCGACGGGACAAAAAGCATCAACTCGCGTCCGAAATTGAAAACACTTCCTTTCTGCCCACCTCTTCCTCGCTGTGTCAGGAGTCCGGAGCCTGCGCAGACGCCGCCAAGCTGGGCACTGTATCCATAGGGCCCTCACGGGGCTAGGGAGGGGACGCCGCCTCCAAGGAGCGTCCCCTGGGCGTCAAGGCCTCCGGTTGTCATGGTTACCCTTGAGGCAGAGTCTTGCGTGGTAGGGGGAGGGGGATGGGCGCGCCAGTGCATCTGCGACTGCGCGCGACCTCCAGGCCCCGCCCGTTGACCCCAGTGCCTCCTCCCTCCCCCCACGCTGTGGAGGGGCTCACACAGAATTAGCCTTGCCCTGGGTGGTGGGGGAGTGTCCAGACTGGGCTTTGCCACTGACGAGGTGACCCAGGGGAAGTACCTTACCTCCCTGGCCCTCAGTTTCTTTCCCTCTAAAATGTCTAGAATAGGGATTTTGCAGCTTTTGGGGCCCTGGAACCTCTGGTGAAACCTATGGACCCTTCTTAGAATCATGTTTTTAAGTGTATAAAATAAAATACTCAAGAATACAAGGAAGTCATATCGAAAATTATCTCTGTACGTGTGTATATAGTTTTTATTTAAAAAACAAATATATAGAAATGCATTTAATATATGATATGTAACATCAAAATATAATATCCATATATAACAAATATAAATAAATGGATTATACAGCTGGGATTTATAATTTTATAGTTATATATATATACATACATACATATAAAAACCCAGTTCATGGACCTCAGGCCAAGAACCCCTGAACTAAGTAATGGAATCCTCCCCCATTTACTTTGACATGAGTGTGAAAATACACATTTCTGTAGGGCTTTCAGATTTACAAACATTTTTCTCAAAACAGCTTTTTCTTCAGTAAACTCTGCTGGTTCCCTATCATCTCCAGGACCAAATAGAAAAATCCTCTACTTGGCTTCCAAAACCCTTCATAGGCTGGATACCTTTCCTGGCATCCCACACCTGGGCTCACCCCTACGGGCCTCTTTGATCTGGGCCTGTTTTGCTATTCGTTGTAACACTTCATCTCGAGACTGAGAGAGGGTATTTTTATTTTATTTTTTTGGCTAGGCAGTGGGGTTAAGTGACTTGCCTAGGGTCACACAGCTAGTAAATGGCATGTGTCTAAGGTCACATTTGAACTCAGGTCCTTCTGACTCCAGGGCTAGTGCTCTATCCCCTGTGCCACCTATCTGCTCCTGAGAGGGTATTTTCAGTAGCTGTCTCTCATGCCTCTAAGCCTCCCCCTCCTCATCTCCATACCTCCTGGCTTCCTTCCAGAATCAGCCAAAGTCCCACTTTATGCAGGAAACTTTCCCACCGTTGGGCTTAATCTTAGTACCTTCCCTCTGAAATTACCCCCAATTTATTCTCTACTTATCTTATTATTTATGGTTATTTGCTTACTGTCTCCCCGATTAGACTGTGAGCTCCTTGAGAGCAGGAACTGTGCTTTGTTTTTGTTTTTTTTGTTTGTTTGTTTTTTGCTGACCTTTGTATTCCCAGAGCTCAGCACTGTGCCTGGCCCTTAATAAATATTAGCTGATGGGATGAATGGACAAGTGTTCACCCATTTCACAAATGCCTCATTGCTAAGACTTATGTTCCACCTCCACTCTCTATTCAATTTTTAATCATCTCTTCTATCATTCTCTTGTCTTGAATGTTTCTTCCACTGGCTTCTACTCCAGTATTTATAAACATGCCCAGATCTTACCTATTCTTAAAAAACAAACCTTTAATTTGATTTTTCCATACAAACTCCTACAAAAAGTTGTCTATACTGGTTATCTACACTTCCTCACTTAGTTTTTAAATCACTTGTAAATCACTACCATTCAAATGAAATTGTTCTCTCCAAAGCTACCAACTATTTTAAAATAGATTTTTACTAATTTTTCTTTTTCCCATATCACTTAGATTTCCCCTTGGATCTCTCCCCTCACCCTTCCCTTCAAGCATCTATCAATATTTGTCATTTTAGAAATAAAAACATCTTAATATTATTACAAAATAGCTTCTACTTTGTTGACTTCTTGAATGAAGGTCTCCCAAAAGGGTCTCAGGGATTTGAGGGGTTCCTAGACCACACTTTGAGAGAACCACTGAGCTAGACAGAACATAGAGTATGTGGACAGGTAGAATTCAATGATTGTGGAAAGGTCAGCTGGGGCTAGAATGTGATGAGCTTTAAATGTTTTACATTCAAAACACCAACATCCTGGAAGCAAGTGGGAGCCACTAGAACTTCATTCGTGGAGGAGGCTCAGGTGAGGCCTGGGCTGTAGAAGTCAATATCCTTTTGGCAACTTCGTCAAGGATGAAATGGACGGGGAGTGATTAGGGGGCTATTGCAATACCATGGAGAGGCAGTGAGCAGAAGAGAATGGGACTACTTGTGAGAGATGTTGTAGAAGCAGACTTGGCAACTGAGTCACTGTGGGAGGGGAAGGGCGAGAGGAAGGGAAGAATTGAGGATGACTGTGACACTGCAAAGCCGGATAACTGCAAGGATGGTGGTGGTTGTTCTTCAGCCATTTCCTGACCCCATTTGGGGTTTTCTTGGCAAAGATATAGGGGTAGTGTGCCATTTCCTTCTCCAGCTCATTTGACAGATGAGGAAACTGAGGCAGACAGGGTGAAATGACTTGCTCAGGATCACACAGCTAGTGTCTGAGGCCAGATCTGAACTCAGAAAAATGAGTTTTCCTGACTTCAGGCTTGGCACTCTGACCTCTATGCTACCTAGCTGCCTTAAAGTTTTTATATCCCCAGCACTGAACACATTGTCTTGGACATGTGAGGAGGTCTAGGGGTGCTAGGACCCTGAGAATGCCAAGGCAGAGTTGCCTGGAATGAATTCACACACTCAAGCCTTCTCTTGGTCAAGTGGCAAAGTTTAATGTAACTCTTTAGCCAAATTGGGCAAGGGTCCTTAGGGAACCTGTGAAAAAGTTAGGATGGTGCTAGGGCTTATATGGAAAAGGGACAAGGGAAAGGATGCCAAGGATTCTAATTAGGTAATGCAAGGGGTCCAGGTGTCTTTGGGAGCTATAGATGGGACAATATAGGGAGTTTTGCAGAGATAATTTTGTTGATGCCAGACACTGAGGGAGTTGTTAGAGGCATGGACCTTGGTGATCTGGTGGGAGAAAGAGTCCTTGGGCCAGCCAGAGACAAAAATCCATGGGCCAGGCACCCCTCTCTCTGTTCTGATAAGAGAATATTCTGCAACAAGAGAAAATTTTCTCATAGGACAGGGACCTACTGAGAAATTGGGAGGCTTCCAGAGACATGATCTTAGGGTGGGGGCCTGAGCACTCCATCACATGTGTGTTCAGTCGTGTCCAACTCTTCATAACCCCATGGACCATACTATCCATGGGTTTTTCTTGGCAAAGATAACTGAAGTTTTCTATTTCCTTTTCCAGTGGACTAAGGCAAACTTATACAGGGTCACACAACTAGCAAGTGTCTGAGGTCAGATTTTGGACTCTGGTCTTTCTGACTCTAGGACTAGTGTTTTAACCTAGCTGCCTTCATTCCCTGTAGAATAGCATTATTTTAAGAGGTCCTACCCATTCCATTCAGTCATTAGATTGAACAGCAAGAGATTGTTGGTAGCCTTCCAGAGGACAGTTTCAGTTGAATGATTGGTCAGAAGCTAAGGAACCTTAGGAACCCTAGATCTTTAACCATGCTTTCCATCTTCCCTTCCCCATTCCTTTGAAGATTGGAAGGATCCTGTACTGAATAAATATAAATGCAGGGCCAAGGACAAGAAAAGTTCACAGAAGTCAAGTCTTGCATGTCCTTGTTATGAAGTTAAGAAATGGGGGAAAAGCTAAGACTTCCTTTCTTTTAACTTCCTTTTTTTCCCCCTCTTCCTATCTTTTAAGTTTTGACACATTTTATTTTTTACATTATAATAATTTTCCCATGTCTTTCTCTTGTAACAAAGAAAAACATAGAGGTGAAACTAGCTCATCAGTGACCTAACCCATAGATTCCCTCCCACCCTCAACTCTTCTCCAGAATGAAGACTGGTCATTACATTTAATTAGAATTCTTTCCTTTGTGCTGTTTTCATTTACATCTTCACTCTATATCATTTCATGTAAATCTTACCATGTTTCTGTGTGCATATGACCTGTAGTGGAATATCAGGGTCAAAAAATATGAACATTTTGGTGACTATTCTCACATAACTCCAAATAGTTTTCCAGAATGTTTGGACCAATAGGCCAAGTCCACAAAACTGACAAGAGATAACCACAAATTTAAAGCATGAAGAAACATTTCATCCAAGCCCCCTTTTACAGATGAGGAAACTGGGACCAGAGATATTAAATGATTTGCCAATAGACATACAAGTCTAGCATCTGAATCTAGGTCCTCAGACTCCAAACCCAATGCCACTGTACTATACTGTAGGTATCAATTTTTCCAGGGCCTTGTCCACTTATACCCCTGACCAGTTTATGAAAAGAAACTACTTTTGGGCTCCATCACTTGTAGTGAGTGAATGAGTGAATGCCCTATTTTCTCTTTGTAATATATAGATACTAGATATCTTCTGACTGTGGAGGCCTACTACCATTTTTGAAGCTGAGATGTGCTTACAGTGGAGTGCATCAGAGGGAGGGAGGGGCATGTGATCTGCTGTGCCACCAGAGGGCACTAAGACCATAGCCGACACCAGCCTACTGTCACAAAAGGAGGCTGCTGGCTTGAAAGAATAACCACCAGTCTTTCACAGAATCAGTTGATGTTTGGGATATAAGGAACCTTTGACATCATCGAATTAGTTCAGTCCTCTAATTTTACTCAAATCCATGAAATCACTTGTCCAGGGTCACCCACCGGAGCAGAGGGCACAACCAGAATTCTAGCCACATTTGTCTTTTTTCTTTCAGTCTAGTACTTTTGGGATGAGTTGGGCTCGTAGTGGTTAAAAAGAATTTTAAGACTCTGGCCTCTGTTCTTAAGGTACAGCTGGGAATACATGAAAAAAAGATAACAACATGGTAACTGCCAAATGAACCTTGAAGCCCTCTCTCACCCCAAGTAACCCTTTTAAAGTTGCATACACTTAGGT